TGGTCTTGATTAAAAAAAAAAATGAAAAAAAAAGAACAGGCATATGTTTTTACTTAATCGTGGTAAAAAAAATTTTAATAATTTCATCAAGAAATAATTATTTCTTTTATATATATTATTCTTTTTCTTCTTTATAAAATATCATGACCCAACATAAAATAATTAATTATTTCAAGGCTTGTGTTTTTATTTAAAAAAAAACTTTTATCTTTAAAATTCTTTTTACTCTTTTTCTCCAAAAAAAAGGCAAAAAAAAATTAATTGAAAATATATCAAAATACTTTAATTGTAAATAAAAACATATAAATGATAATTGAAATTGTGTACCTTCGATTTATCAAACATCACCACCCTCATTGTTAAAGTATATATTGTAATTACTGGTTTGCGCTTATAATTGTCAGGAATTAAGGAATTGAACTCAAACGCTCTGAGAGCGGTCACTCATTAATTAGTCCACTTGATTGCCACTTGCCGTTGCTATAAACTCTAGATTGTAAACACTGCAGTGTTAGTAATTGTCCGTTGTGTGTCTGCTACGAGTCGAGCCGATAATTAACCGCCGCCCATTCGTCGCGCTGGGATTGGAATGTACACGTAAAAACTCGGCTCGTATCATTGTTAAAACGGTAATAAAATGTTCACCTACACACTTACATAATATTTATATTTATTTTTTTCTTTCTTTTTTAGAAAAAAAAAGAGAGACACACAAACTATTGCCACATCTAATAGGGAACCATTACTTTCCTTCCAACTTTCTATACAACACTACCTATATACAATGTTCATTTCTTCCTGAAGAAACTCGATTTACTTTCCAAGAATAAAACACCAATTTTCATTAAGTTTCGTGTCAAACGTTTTATGTGTCACGGTCAATTAAAATATTTCTTATTAATTTAAATTAAATTTACAATTATTTATATTTATTATTTATATTAAGAAAAATCATTTATTTAATAATAATAATAATTTAGTAAAATAGTTAATAATTAATTTTGATAAAATAAATTTAAAAGAAAACCAAATTAGGTTCTTTCGTACCTCTAAGGGTTATAATATTAAATTTAAATTATGTGAACGAAACTTATTCGACTGGAAATTGAGGCTTAAATTAAAAAAATTCTCTACATGTATAAAGTAATTTGAAATTAAATTGAAAACGTAAATAATAATAATATAATAATTTTTTGTGATTATTAAATGAAAGCAGATTGCGAAAATTATTTTGTAAAACCAACATTACCCTGGGTGGTTTTATACTCTGTGAATAGTATATTAAATAAAAGTAAAAAAAAAATAATATCAAATTAGAGCACTATTAAGTTTTTAATCAATCTTACGCAACTTGCGGAGACAGGTGGTTAATTTTACACGTGAAAGAACACTAAGGCGTCAATATCCGCCATGTAAGTACACGGAATAAGTATATGTACTTGCATCTAGTGTACTAAAGTAATTATTAAGCAAAGCAGAGAGTGCGAAAGCCAATTATTGTGAAATGACTGAAACTCTGCCAGTTCAAAAAAACAGTGAAGCTGACTGACAGTGACTTGTTATCGCGCCAGTATCGAATGTCCCGTTATATTCGAATCTTTATTTTTAGAAATATTTAGTATTATTTTCTCAAAAAAAAAAATTCATCGATGAACCAGTTAATTAATTTGTCAAATCACAAAACAGAAAGTGTATTTTAAAAAAGTTTCAAAACTGAAAAAATTATATCTAACTATCGCTAATTATTTAATTACAAATATTAATTACAGGCATATTAAATTAATTAATAATTTTTATAATCAAAAGTATTATTATCTTGATAAATTTTTTTAAAATAAAATATAAATTGTTAAATTAGTGAAATTCAATGAGAAAAAATTAGTGAATAAATGTCCGAGATGTATAAACATAGAAATTCTAGGTTAAAATAAAGTTAATTGAAGAAGAGACATTGTGTGTATTTGTTATTAGATTGCGCATATTGTGCATAATTTAGCAGCAGCGTAATAAAACACAAGACGGCGCAGTGTTAATTGACCAAGAAGCAATTACAGCATTATGAAGAAGGTGGTTCGTTAGTCACATTTGCGTCATTGGTTTATTATGACGGTTACAAACGCGAAAAATACCGGACAATATATTTAAATGTATTAGAGTCAAGTTCAAAACCGCAAAAGCCTTTAAAAAGTCAAAAAATTTTTTTGCAAAAAAAAAAATTATGTAAAACAATCTTTACCTCATGAAATTTGATTTATTACTTCAGAGGTTAATATATAAGAGAAAAAGAGAGTTTTCATTTAAACCTCAAGGAGAATACATATGTGATTCATTATCTCCTTATATTTAAAGGCCAAACTTTTTACTCATCAACAATAATTATCTATGAACCAAAATTAAATATTCTTCAAACAGTTTTTAAAATACACTTTACTGTTAAATGTTTTCGACTCAAATATTGCAAATAAAATATATTAAAAGTACAATATTAATTTCAACTTTCGCGCATTAGGAAAAGATGATTTTTTTTCCCCTCTCCTTCCGATGTGATTAAGTGTTATTGTAATAAATAAACGAGCATTAAAATAATTTTCAAAAGATTGAATGCAAAAAAAGAAGGCTACAATTTTCTATAACAATAAAATTATTATTCTTTGAATGTTTATAATTATTATAAATAAAAAGAAATTGAAAATATTGTCCCGCATTTCAAATCATAAGTTTCTCACATAAATCATATTGAAAAGGCTTAAAAGTTATCACAATTTAATGTAACAATTGCGGATCATTAATTCCGTTACTAATGACAGAAAGATAAAAACATTTACTTGCAAACAATAATCCGTCTATTACTTTCTCCGACGCGAATAGATATATATATATATATATATAATACTGACGAGAGTTTTTTTTTTCAAAAGAGTTTTGATCGATTGACTTCCAGTACTGCCGAAAGTTCGTGATTCAAAGTATAATTACAAGATAATTACAGATTCCATTTCCTTCTCAGGATTTCTTTTTTGTCAGAAAGACTAATTATTATTTTATATTTTACTTTTGTAAAAATATATTTCCTTTCAAAATTTGATTTAATATAAATTAGAGTTGGTTCTGTTTTTATATATACATAAAAATATAAAATTAATTACTTCAACTTGTAAACGGAAAGAAATTAATTGATTTCAATGTTTTTCTATAAAATAAAAACTGATATGAAGGTTAATTAAAAAGTAGCTAGAAAAAAAAAATTCTTAAATACAATGATTTAAAAATATTTAAATTGAACAGAAATGGAATTTTTTTTATAATAAAATTTTTAGTGAAAAAATATTTTTAGTTGTACAAATAATAATGATGGTCGTAATTGTTCGTGTGGACTTTTGTAAAAATGTTACTTCCGGTTTTATACGTATTTTATAATTAAACGTTGCATCCGGACAATGCGTCAACGCTCAACATATAAAACGTTTTCATGCACTTGTGCCTCACGAACTTTGTTTTAACTTTAAATTCTCCATTATGGAATACTATATATTCTTTCAAAAGATACAACATATTTTTTAAAAAAAAATCCTTCGAACATTTAATAGAACCAATAAAAACTATTAATAATGAAATAATAAATAATAAAAAATCAAATGTAATGAAAAACAATTTTTAATAAATTTAATTATTATTTTAATTTAAACATAAATAATAAATAATTTAATATTACGTTAAAGTTAATTTATTATTAATTAATTCAAAGATTATTTAAGTTTAAAAATTGCATTTATATCTGTGTTATTTAAATTAAAATTATTTAAAAAACAATTTTTTTAATTATAATTTTTTAATTATAATTTTTTAATAATTATTTATTATTTAATTGTTTAACTATTTTTAATAATTATTTATTAATTATTGCTTATAATTATTTGTTAATTATTATCAATGATTGTTTGATAATTATTTGTTAATTGTTATAAATAATTATTTGTTAATTATTTTTAATAATTAAAATTCGCGGATTGTTGATGTAAATTATTTTTTTAATTTATTGTTTATTATTGAGAATTTGAAATCTAAGTTAAAGGAAAATTTACCACAGTGAGTGATAAAAGACATTTAACTCTAGAAAGGTTCGATTTATTGTTCGAATAAACTGTCACTTTCTGAAGCGTAAATAATTAATCCTTCATAAGCGCAATTTTACTGTAAGTCCGAGAAAGTGAAATCAATACGTTACATATTAACATTTTAAAATACGAACTGGTGAATGAGACATTTTCTAATGAAAACTCATATAAAAGTCAAGTATTTTTAATTCATAATCTTTAAAAAATTTAGTAATTTTTGTAATTAAAGTAATTAGAGTTAATATTTCTGAAAATATATATGTGAATATTTTTTTGATTAGTCATTTTAATTATACTTATTTAAAAATAATTTAATTACATTTTTATTTAAATAAATTCTTTTAGTATTATAAAAAACACGAAGATTAATCACTTTTGCATTTACTCATAAATCAAAATATGTAATTAACATTTGCAATAGAAAATCTTCTATTCTCAGATTTTTAGCATGTAAATTTTAGCTTCTTTTTAATTAATTATTATTATGTAATTATGTTAACATTATGTAATTTTTTAACAACAAAATCGGCTATCTGAATGAAATATTTTTGATTCACATAATGTGAGATTAAAAAAGTTTTTTATTTAAATTCTCAAAAAAAATATTAAAAATAAATTAAATATTTTCGATAAAAATTATTATTGAGTGATATTAAACGCTCAACAATTAATATAAAACAATAATTAATATTCCCTGCTATATGATTCAATTTGTTAAACATTTTAAAATAAAAAAATAAAATATATAACATATGTTACAAAAAATAGGTAATATAAATATATAGTATAAAAAAAAATTCGCAAAATGTAAATAAAATAGATAAAAGATAATGTCAATAAATTAAATAAAACAGAAATTTAAAAAAAAATATTTTCTCACCAATTGAAGCATTTATGTAGATTTGAAGTAGAACAATCAATTTATTCTTCTATAGAATTTTCCAATAATGATTTAAGTTTTCCTTTCCAAAAAAAAAACCAGTCAATTCATAAAACACACTGTCGTCAAATTGATCGAAATTCACTTCTTCACGTTTCTAACGAAAACCGGTTTACGAATGATTCAACACGTGTTCGTTAGCACTCTTTTCATTTAAGCCGGCAAGGAGACTGTCACCACCACTTTTTTTCAGAATAATCACACAAATTGTCGATTAAAAACACTTTTTAATTTTGCCTCAATTTTAAAATTACACTACACCGGGATAACATGTACTTTTTATGACTATAAACAAAAACTTATTGTCCTTCAAATAACACTTTATCACTTCCCAATTCTGGTTAAATTAATTAAATACGTTGATAACTCGGAGTTGAGTTTTTTTTCTTTCTTTTGACTGAAAACAATTTCACTTTGACTTTAAACCTCTCTCTCTCTATTAATTCCCAGAATTGATTGAAAAAGCTGATAACTGATTTTTTTCAAACGAAAGAGACACGCACCTAAACAATTGCATATTCACGGCTTTCAAAACAAAAATACTGATATTTTCAAGAGTTCTTTAAACTGATAATTAAGTTTGCAGAAAATAATTGTAAATAAGCTGTCAATTCACACAACACAATGTAGTCTCAAAAATAAACGTTGCTTCCAATACACGAATCAAGGTTAGGTTAGGTCAGTGACAAAAACACCAAATGTTTTGGAGTCGCACTAATTTTTTTTCGATACTTTCGTTATTTATTTTATATTTCAAAGAAACGTTCGTAAAAAAAAAAGATTCTAGACGAATTATACGACACAATATTACTAAAAACTTAAATTAAATACACGTTAAAAAATAACTACTTGTAAAACTTGTCACTAAAGTGATAAAACCGCCAAACTGAACCGGTCGTCAGTGGTGCCAACAATTAATCGATACTCGTCACTTCCGACAACTTAAAAAAAACTATTTGCGCGGGTTTTTTTGAAATCAAATCTAAAAAACATTTAATTTTCCATCAAATTCAATTGTGAATAATTTATTGTCACGTTGGGGACAATTTGATAATTGCGATTCTCCCGTCGAGAAGTTGTTTCCTCGTCGACGGATAGGATTCACTCTTTTGTGATATCCGCGCGAAACCTCGTGACGGTTCGCATGGAGCGTGCGCTTCGTCCAGCGTCCGACACGATACTACTTTAACTCTTCGTCTCGCTTACTCTTTCTCTCTGTCTCTCTCACTCGCACACTTGCTCCCACCCTACGCCCCCTCTGCGATTCATGTCACTCTCTCACTCTCTCTTATATTTGCAGGTCATGCAATCTCGCTCCTGTGCGCGACACTTCTGTTTTCTCCCTCTAATCTGCACCGCGCTTCTCACTGTTTCGCGCGCGCGGGTGTGTCATCTGTCTCTGTCTTTCAGGGCGTCCGCCCCTGTGTAATGTTTCTCTCCTTCCCGGTGCCAACACTATATACTTCTCACTCCTTTTTGCTCCCTTGCTCGTAATCCGAGTACAAAACTCAATGAGAGAGAGAGAGAAAGAGGAATTCTCGTTAAACAAACACTTCGATGACGTCAGCCTTGACGTGATTAAATTTATTGCACCAGTCGACCAAGAAGATGTTCCAGGTATATGCTTGAATGCTCCCAACAAAATTTTGAGGTTAGAAAATCGACCGCCAATCTAAAATATTGATGAGAGGGAGACGTGAAGTTGGCGGCAATGATGCATTCAGAGATCAATGTTCGTTACTTCATTGACCTTGTCTGGAACGTTTGGAGCTTTCATTGGTAAGAAATTTTCAGTTTATATTATTAATTTTTACTCAATATTATTTTCTGCATAATAATTTTTCGTGGCAAATTATTCATAAGAAGTAAATTCTGAAATATATGATAATAATTTATCGATTATGTCAAAACACTACGAAAGTAAATTTGCAATCATGAGATTGTTCATTTTCCGCATTCATTTTTCTTGAAAATCTGGCATACTATCTCTAAATTTGTATTATATTTTGTCATAATTCAGTTGCAGGAATAGACGCTTTCTTTTGTCAAAATTTCTATGCTAGAATTTTCAAGGTTAGCAAATTGACCGCCAATGTCCGATGCGTTTAGTTGGCATTGTTCGAGGTTCATTGACCTTGGCGGATTGTTGGAGCTTGCACCTGTGTACAATTTGGTAAGGATTTTTTTCTATATATTCTTTTTGTTCACAAATTTTTACACAATGCTTTCTGTTTAACAACGATTAAATTAATTAAAAACGATTAAATAATCGCGCTATTTTGTCTATTTCGTCATACAATGCGACAAATCAGTCGTCGAGCAGTGACAATATTTTTTTATGATTTTTTTCCTGAAATATCAGTAATAATCTTCTAAAATATATAATATTTTGTCAAGATAATATAAAGATAAATTGCGTATATGATGGTTACTTTTTAATTACAATATTTTCGCGAGAAATTTTGAGGTTAGGTTATTGACAGATAATCCGGAAATTATTAATGGATTTAGATTCTATTGTTGATTGATCTTGTCTGGTGCATAACTATTATTGGTAAGATAATTTTAGTTTATTTCTCATTGTACAAAATTTTTGTGTTTAATTAGCAAAAATTGAATAATATTCCGAAATGTGGATTATATCGTTAATTTTGTCAGTATCGTTAAAATAGTTTTTTTTTTGGCGACATTTGCGATAAAAAATCATAAATATCTGATCAGATAAATAAATTGTGAAATTATATTATTTATTTGAATGGAAATTAATTTAGTTTAATTATAAAATAAATTTAATTGCATAAATCTCGATCATAACCTCATTTTTTTTTTTGTTAAAATCGAAATGTTTTGTCATTTAAAAAATTTCTCATGAACATTGTGGTGAATTGTTGGTTAAATTAAAGTCGTTTATTTTCTCTACAGTGTTGAACATTTGGTGGAAACCAGAGGAAAAATCGCAATGCACTAAGTGTTTTGTCTGAAATTGTTTTTACTTGACGCGGAAATTCTGCTAAACGTTAAACGTCCACATACAACTACTTTGTTGTTGACCTTTTAAGTTCTTTTCGGATGAAAACTGGACAAGGTAAAAATCGTTGAAACCATACGAAGTGCATGATGGGGTCTACTTTTTTCTCAGGATCACTTGTCGTCGTGAACTACTCTCGCGGGTTAAAGAATGCCTTCGGTGTAGAAACACCTTTTACGTGATAGGACAGGAACAACCATCTCAATTATCGGTAAAGGTCTTACTAATTGGTTCGGTTAGAATTCTATACTCACTTTCATAACTCGACATCATATACACAATGTTGGGACAAGTTTTCAATTATCTTTAATTTCTTTTCTTTCAGCAATTTTAATGAACAAAAATTCAATTATTTTTAACGACAGTATTTGATAATATTTATTTTGCAATTTTATTTTATTCAATATATTTTACTTAATTATAAAATTTCTTCTATTTACTTAATAAATTTAACAATTTTACAATATAAAAATTCAGTTTTTTTTTTTTTTGCAAATCTAATCGAAATTGATAATTTTGTATTCTTTTGTTTTTTTTTGGAAGATTTTTTTTTTATTGTCGGGAAAAAATTTATTGAGCTGATTTTTTTCGCCCAGTGGAGTAATTATGTATATTTAGAATAAACGTTTAATTTTTTAGTGACCGTTACTAAAATGAACAGCGCTTGTAAAACGGTGATTTATTCGAGATTAGTGAGATTCTTTTTTTTCATAGAGCGTTGATCGTTGCAAAAATCGAGAGAAAGGAATGAAACATAAAACATCGCAGCTACCCGAAATAATCGAGGCCAACAGATTAACGGTTTATGTGATATACTCAAGCCAAAGAATTTTCTTTCGATTTAGTTTCATCACTTCACAAATTGAAAATGAGTCATTTTTAATTTTAGAAATTGAACAATTTCTTCTTCTCGATTAGCGACAGTGTTTCATAAAAAAAGAAATAGAGAGAGAAAAATGTTCTTCATTTTTCCTTATTTTCAATTTTTTTTATGTTTATTGTTCACTTGTTATTTTTTTTGCCTTCTATTTTTATTTTAATTGAATTCTTTTGTTTCAGAGAACATTTTCGAGTTTTTTTTATTCTACAATTCACATAACCTGATGATAAATAGACAAAAAAAAAAGAGGATGATGAGCTGCAAAAAATTAATTTCCAACATCAAAACGACAAAATCTCTTCGCCTTATCAAGAATTATTGTTTTGAACTGGTAAGAAAGTATTCAATATTTGTTTTAATGTGAAATTTTACTTTTGTCTTCTTGACTTGACCTTCAAGTTTATATTGCCTTCAAAATTCTAATTAAATCGCTATCATTTGTTTTAGATCAGAATTATTTAGAAGAGAGCGAGTATTGTAATCTGAAAAGGTCTTTCAAGGTTGCTCAATGTTTCGACAACTGCATGAGGGTTCATTTAGGAATTTTCCAATCGTTAAGAGGGTAAGACTATAATTTTAAATTAAAGTTTCTTCAATTCAATTAGAATCGAATTATCCTTTTATTATTTATTTGTCAAATAATGTGGAATAATTTTTTTATTGACATCCGTTTTTTTACTTTGATTTAAATTAATTTAAAAAAATAAATTCTATTAATTACATTAATTTAAAAAAAATTTTTTTTTAATTTTATTTTAAATTAAAGTTCTCTTGATTGATAAAAATTAAATTTAAATTAAACAAAAAATATCAGATGAAAAAAATGAAAAAATTCGAGCTCAGATAATAAAACTATTTTAACGTAATATTTATGGGCGATTAATTAAAACTAATGGCTTTTTTAGTAAGGAAAATAAATCGTTTTGTAAGTTATTTTATTTTTTAAAAATGTTCAATTTAATTTTTTTTAATTTTCATTTATTAGAAAAATTGCTATTTAAATAATAGAAATTATTCTTCATATTAATTAGTGAACATTTCCATAACAAACCTTCTATTAATTAATAAATTAAAAATTACATTGAAATAAAAATTAATTAGATTGGCGAAACAATAGTGTTATAAATCGAGCGAAGGAGTTATCCGTGGGAAATGTGTGTATACCAATAAGTGTTCAAAATTAGCGTGGTCCAAGCACATGCTAAACATTCAATAAAGTGCTCGAAAGCCTCCTGAAATAATCGTAATCATAAATAATCAGTCCTAAATATACGTCGGCGACGGTAATGTCCGCGCTCTCGCGCACCAACTGCTGTTCGCGAACCGTTAACGCTCACTTCGACGATAGTTTCTTGTCTTTTTCATACTCGCAGCCTCTTCATATTTTCTATCTCTCATTCTTTTATTTTTTTTTTTTTCATAAATCTTTCATTCCTCTGGAATTCCGCGGTACGTCGTCACTTCGTCTTTCCTGTGGAAGAATATATATATACACACATTTCAATGACTCGCAATTCGTAATACTTTCTTGTCCTCTTACTTCATAGTCTTTGAATTTTTAAGTGGTTAATGTCTTTATCTTCTCTCATCTTGGGAGCGTGATGTAAAAATACTTCTGTTTCCCGCAGTCATCTTTCAAACTGTGCGAGTTTAATGACCATATGTTCTTAAGAACAAACATCATTAATCTTATTATATATATATATATTAATTTTCAATAAAGATGAACAATTTCGTAGATCTTGAACAATATTTCACATTTTTAATCATTTGAATAAAATGAAGGTCAAAGTCTAAAAAAAAATTCGATGTTACAACAAACATTTTTTTCCAAGCTCATGAATGTAAATCACACCTTTTTTTTAAAAAAATATAACAATGGTGAATTTAAAATCAGAAGTTAATTACACGTTTTCATTTGCAGAAATAGCCTTGAAATATTAGAGGGTAAAATGTCTGAATTCTATTTTTTTTTTTTGTCTCGTCCCACCGCTCCCAGATTTGGAAGCAGAGTATTATATAGGGGGACGAGAGAGTTCGAAATAACATAATGCTTAACTAAGCGTGTCCGCGATCGTCATTAGTACGCAATAATGGTTTAATGGTTAGGTTAGCGTGCTCTTCGATTCAACAACAAACGTAACACGGACGTGCTGTTCTGATGTGCACGAGTTTCGAACACGCGGGGTTGTACCAATCGAAATCGACGACTATACGACAACGACGACAGTGTACACGACATAAAACGGACATATGGTCGGCTGGCTCGACCGATTAGATACATTTGCATTACAATAGGCAAAATGTCTGCCCACCATCTCGCTAAGCATTCGCTTTATTACGACCACCGTAGCTTATATAGTCTATGCCCATATACCAGCATAATGGCACTTAACCTGGCAAAAAAAATTGTTGCAGCTTTAGGTACGTCCCGGTTGGATACCTTTTGTTTACCAGGACTCTTTAAACCCGTTCGCCTGCATTTGGAACCAAAGCCGCTAACTCGGATCATCACTATACAACTACCAGCACCCTATATATTGTTCTATCCAAGGATCTCTTCGAGAATCACTGAATCCAATGACGATAGGTATCACCGTGGAGTTTCGACGCTTTCAACAATGGATTATAAACCCTGTACATTTACAATGTACTCTTCAAATTGTTTCAACCAAATCGATAAATGGAGATTCACTCACATCCAAGATTCAAAATAATGACGTAAGTTTAAAATTTTATTTTATTTTATTTCTTTTATTGATATATTAAGGCAGTTCAAAACTAAAACTAAAAATTGGTTTTTTACACACTGAGAAAAATGTTTAGTCAGAGCAACCAAAATTTGGTTGGGCCAACAAAAAAATTTTGTTGGTATTTAAGCAACCAAACTATTTGCTTGAGTCTACCAAAAAATTTGGTTGAGTGTTTTTTGTTAGGTCATAACAAAAATGTTTGGTTAGCTCAACCAAATTTTTTTTGTCAGGTCATAACAAAAATGTTTGGTTAGCTCAACCAAATTTTTTTTGTTAGGTCATAACAAAAATGTTTGGTTAGCTCAACCAAATTTTTATTTTAGGTCATAACAAAAATGTTTGGTTGATCAAACAAACAGTTTTTTTTTGTAAAATTAAAAATTTTATTCTACCTTATTTCTTTTCTTTTTATCTTTTTTTATTTATTTCATTATTTATTTATTATAAATTTAACATTGAATTTATATTTATCCAATTGAATTATTTTTGGACTTTGAAAAATCTCATCTCCGCCTGGGATCGAACTTCTGTTTTAAAACTAAACTGTTCTTTTAAGCTATGAGCTGAAAGCGAATCAAATTATTTGGTTGTCGCAACCAAATTTTGGTTAGGACAACAAACGATCATTTGGTTTTTTAGAACAAACTATTTTGTTGTGTTAACAAAATTGTTTTCCTGTCGTAACCGAATTTCGGTTGGAATTTAAAATAGTTCAACCAAATAATTTTGTTGGCCTAACCAAATGTTTGGTTGAGATAATTCTATGACTTTGTTTCAGTCAACCAAAATTTGGTTACATGAACCAAAATTGCCTAGTCAAACAATTTTGTTGCAAACACTAAATTTTTTTTTCTCAATGCAAAGTAGAACCAAAATTGAAATTAATTTTCAGTTGTACAATTTGCAAAAAAAAAATTATTTTGAACTAAAATATATTCAAATAATTAGTTACTTTTCTATTATCAAATAATTATTTACTTGAACTAAATAATTTTTGTTTCAAAAACAGATGGTTTAAATAGTCTATTTTATTCAAATAAGTATTTATTTGATTTGCCAAGCAATTATTTGAATCAAATAAATTTTTTGTCATTAGTTGAAAATTAGTTCAAAATATATTTTTTTGTGCAACTTGATTTTTCTTAATTTAGTAATATTAATTTTTAATTCTAGTTCTATTTTGGAAAGAAAATCATAAATAAATTCAAGATGAGATCGTAGATTCGATTTTAGATTCAAAGAAACGATAATAATTTTTTAATCTATAATAGTTTTGCTTTTACTTTTGCCTTGAATTTTATATATATATATATATATAATTGATGATGTCAGATGTAATATAGTAGTTTTGATTGATTTGTAAATCGACTAATGTAACATAATTAATTTAGCTCGAAGCATGATAGTGTTTGTTCTTTCTTTTATAATACGTTGGTTACGTTATCTGGATGAAATCTATATATATGTAATCAGGCATTTTTCTAGGAACTGTGTTCGCTTATAATATACATATAGTGGTGCATTTAGACGTATGTAATTATGTAAGTAAAGTGAGAGCATGGCATTTACAAAACTGCAGTGTACTAATTATTATTCATGTCTGTTAAGTCCCTCTATAGGAGGAAAAGATTGTTGCTATCGGCTTTCTAGCATTATTATCGTTCGCGGACGAGATATGCAAAATCAAGTACCTTCAGCCTGAAGCGGTGTGTGCACCATCATATATATATATATATATATATATATATATATATATATATATATATATATAGATATAGATGCTTTACCGGTGACTAAATCAAGATCAGTCACGGATGACGTTCCCTCGACGACTTTATGACTGATATTATTCGGTTTATCGGTACCCACTTGTCCTGCGATAATGTCGATAATGATCTACCGGAAATTATAAAAATCGGCCTCTCCCTGTGTTATAGTTTTAGACGTTTATAAATAACTACCTTACACAGAGTTCACAAAAAATATAGTCTTTATAACCACTTCGATCGAGGTAGATAACAAATATTGTGTTACATTATATACTGAGAGGTTTATTTCTCGCGAGTTTATATAGTTCTTATTTTTTATATTAAAAAAAAAATTATTTTCACACACACTTGATAAAATCATTTAGTATCTAAAACGTTTAGAAATTTTTAAAATCATTTAAATTAATAATAATTTTTCTAATGAACATTTTGTGTTAAGAGAATTAAAAATGTGCGATATAAAGGAGGGTATATGTGCGAGCTAGCACAACGGGATATCTGAGTGACCTTCAGTTAGAAATTAATTAGAAAAGTGCGGAGAAGCTCGCAAAGACCTTGACGGTGTTGTCGGGGTTCGGGGTCAGGCAATCAACGAGCAGATGAATTAATGGCTACGCCAACTACCCTCGAAGAGAGAGACTATGTCTATAAGAAGGGCGCGTTCCAGTTACGTGTGTGTATGTGAAAGTAGATTCTTTTATATATATACATATAACCACCCTTAGCCTTGTCTCATATACATTTACAGAAAAATCGCAGACACACACACACACACAACGATTGCAAAATATATATCCACATGTATTTTGTATAACACAGAGAAAAATTTTCTCATTTAATGCGTGTGTTCGTTTGAGACTTGGAATTCTAACCATTGAACATTACCGTTTACCCCACCCCAAAAGCATCCCCGAATCTATCGGACGATTTTCCACTCGGAATCCTCCCCACTTGGGCAAAAAACAATATAAGAGTTTCCATATAGAGTCGAAGGTCCTCTCTCTCTCTATATATATATGTACATAGTAACGCCACCAGGATTTTAATGAAAAAAATCTCAAGTCAAAATTGGATTTAAGCACCTTTAGATGCGACTAAAGTGATTTTATAGAATCGATGGCTCTCTTCAAGTTTTCCATAAGGTGAAAATTAAATTCGTTGAAGTGATTTTTGTGAATTAGTTTTCTAAATTACTATTTAAATTTTCTGATAATTTTTTTTTCTATTGAACATAATATTTAATTAAATTTAAAGAGAATCCATAAAAAATATAATAAAGAGAAATTGTTATATGTATAATTTAATTAGTCAAATTGGTTTATTTTCAAATGAATTTAAAAATCGATGATGATTTACTCCACTCCATTAAACTTGTTTAAAGAATGAAGTAAAATTGTTCAAGTATTTTTCACTTAGGCTCCAAACTGTCTAACATCGCTTACTGCGTGCTTAATATGTAAATTACCGGCAGGCGGTGGTTTGAAAACTCGTACACATAGTGAGTTCCAGGACTTGATTGTGAAAAGAAGGGTTGTTTGCAAACTTTTATTTACTTACACCTGTATAGAGTTATGAGAAACGTGTGTATATAGTAGTCACGTGAATGAATAAGTGAATGGAGTGTGATTTTAATATTCTCATTCTCTTATAATAATTATCAACTTTTATTTATTTAAATTTTGAAAATTTTCAATATTTCTGTTTCAGTTGTTGCAGTTCGTGCTGTTTAATAGGTGAAGGTGAAAACAAAACGAAACTTCAGATTGAAGATGACATCTGTCAAATACTGTAAGTGAAAATTAGTATTGTTTTTATTCTTCTCTTTACTTAAAAAAAAAAATTTTTTTTATTCTCGTGGCAATATATGCAATGTTTAATACAGTATGTCCCTTAATATTTCATGGATAATTCTTCGGTAGAGTAATATACTTTTCGGTCCTGTAAGGCATTGTCCAAAGAGAGTGAATCCTCGCATGTCGGTTAACCATCGTCCCTGCTCTCGCGTCGAACCCAGGGTCGTTGAATTTATCGTTAAGTGATGTCCGCGTTTATTTATCGCGAGCCTTCTATCCTTAACGGTCGTGAACTCATTTCATTATTCGCAAAGTGCACCAGGAAAATTTACTGTGAGGGCGTCTCCACATTGTTTTCGGGTTTTTAATGTCCGATTTTCTTTTTTTTTTTTTCGTTTCTGCCTCGCAATTCTTATTTTTAAAGAGGTAATAAGCTTTTTTTTCATAAACTATACACTTGATGTACCTGTAATAATTAACGCTCATGTTATTAGAGAGAATTAATTTTTTCTTTGAACCTTTCTGAACACCTTGGTAATATTTTTAGTAGAAGTTTCATTTCTTTTATTTATTTATATCGAAAAATGCTTTTTTTTTCTTGTCCTCCAACATAATGTTGAAATAAAAGTGTAAGATATATATCAGAGATGGTGTTATTCCACGAAGAGCTCGTCAATTAAATCTAAATCGAAGTTTTAGCAGTTCGTGATATACGAGTCAGTTTGAAACCAGCTGCTCTACAAGCGGACGGAGATTATAAAGCGTTTATAGCACAGCTTCCCACCTCGGGGCACTTCGCTTCTGATCTGCATAAAAATAGGGGAATCGTAGGGGGAGGAAAGAGGAGAGGAGGACAGTGAAAGCGGGAAGAGGATCCTTAATACAAGATCAGATTATGATTTTGCGGGGGAGTACGCGAGCGGTGGTGAAACAGGCCTTTTTCTCGAGAGAGAGAGAAAAAGAAAGAGCAAGAGATGAGAGTGTTGCGCTGCCGCAGGATTGGACGATCTTCGACGTCATTAAACGACCGCGATAACTTGGCGATTTTAAGGGATCAAGTAAGGAAAAAAAAGAAAACAAAATTTTTTTTTTTGCCCACTCCTCGTATATTTATTGCTCGAATGGTGTGAGATCACACGTTTAAGGTGGATTACAAAAGTGTTGGAAATGTGCTCGAGAAAGATATTAAAACCATTGAAAGAGGCGCAACTTTTTTTTTAAGTGTCGTAATATATTTCTCACAACCGAAAGTACAAGTTGTGCGGGAACCTGTCTTAAAACAAATGCGACACTTTTAGGTGTGCAGAAACTTGCAAATTCGACCACATTTTTTTTTTTGAATATTTTTACTGCATGTTTTATATTTTTTTGTTTAAAAATAAATTACAAATTGCTGATATTGGAATAAATTACATAGTTTTAAACAAAAATTTTTCTTTTCAGATGGTGTCAGTATTTGCAGAACGAGAAATTTAATTTTAAATCAGAATTTGATGATAAAATCACAGTGATTGGAGACAGAAAGAATTGAAAATATCGATGGAATGCTGACAACATCGTAAGGGTGAGTATAGTTTTAATTTTTTTAATGATTTACATAAAAAGGTGTTTAGATCTGTAGATGAAAAAAGAAATTTTATTCTTTATATTCAGAGATGAAAAGACAAATTATAAGAAAATAGGGTTATTTTTAGACTTAGGCTATTGGTTGTAATTTTTAATTCTATTATTAATTATTATTGTGAGAGGTATATATATATTTTTTTCTATATGGGAGAAGATATAATCCCGCAAAAAAGCTTTCGCGAGAGGTTTGCAAAATTCTTTGACAGTGAAAAATTTATTTATACGGTCTTGGCTGAAGTTGAAGGTGGGTTCTTAATCTCGATTTGGCTATATAGCCAGGGCGATAATTGATGAGATGCAAAGTAGAATAGTGGAGGTCGATTGGATTTACGGTGGTATAGGACAATCGACGCGCAGTTCGAAATCCCATATGCCTCTCTCGACACCCCATGAAGAATAAGAAGCGAGGCCGACGTACATAATGGCGTCGAGACGCGAAAGGGCGAAGCTAACGATATATCTTGGACTATTGTCTTGTGGGTCGCGACAGTCGCGGCCATTATATCAAGATTAACTCTCTTATTCCCTGCTAAGGTAGAGAGGAATAAGGCAAAAGAAGAGGGTACATACAAACACATTTGACAGTTGTGGTGTATGCTCTTATATATATGTATACATACACGAACCATCACCTATACACGTTTGTGAAGGAACCAACAGTGAGTTGACTGTGTCCCGCAAAAGGCAGAGAACGAGGGTGTATGCTAGGCATCCGCAAAAGAGGACATTATAAGGAGTTATGAGGTCCTGCCTCATACGTGAGCATCCCAATCGTTGTCTCTTTCCTTTCGCGAACTTTTTTCTTTCCCCTCCCGCCTCTCTCCTCTTTTACTTATTTCTTCCCTCTTGCTTCATTCTTTATTTCCCTCCCGCACCGCAGTCCCGATTCTTTCTGTGGCGGTTCTTAATGTCCTCTCCCTTTTAATGTCGGCTCTGCCCTCGAGGTCGATTCTGAACATTTTTACGCTGCCTCTTTTTCATGGCCGATATTGAGTTATATCCAACGCGCATTTATCGTTCAAAATCCTGTTGTTCGGGAGAGCAGAAAACGAGAAAGCCGCGAGAGTGGAATGAGGAGGGTTGCGTTCTGACTATATGTACATGTAAGAATTCCTTGAGGTCCTTCCAAGACAGTCCCAAGTCAAATGGAGAGAGTATATATATATGCTGCGGGTTGGAAAAAAAAAATTTTTAAAGGGCGAAACATGTACAATGATTTGTTGTATGCTTGCTGTAATGCGAAATGATAGCAATACTATCGATGAACCTTAACCTCGAATATCGAAACAAAACTTACAAATCATTAGTTGCAAAATCCTTTTTGCAAAATCTTTCTCTTGTATTTTTTATGTTCAAACTATTTACTATTGCATATATCTAATACAGGCAAATTCTATTCTTGTAGGTTTTCAATATATGGAAATAATTATATATGTAAAATATAATACCTTATTGTTAACAAAATAAGCGTTATCCATGAATCTTTAAAAAAAAAGTTCTCGAAAGAGACAAATAGATAAACAAACTTTTTCAAGAGTTATATTAAAAGTTCATGATATTAAAACCCTCGCGAAATTGTAAAACTTTAAAATTCTTTGAGAAGAAATGAAAAAGAATATATAAGGGAAGCCATACACAGCATATATGTATGAAATGAACATTCGCAAAGAAGTTCCATATTCCATCACTCGTATTCATAAAATTATCAAGAAAGAAAGTTGCTATAATGGAAAGAATAAAAGGGGTAGGAGAAAAAAAAAGTTATACAATGTACGTTATACATACGCATATATACGACAAAATTACAAATTGAATTACGAACCATGTTATACGAGATATAACCAATTACAAAACAGTTTCATTCTGATTTATGATATACATGTTCTGTGTCGTCTCGTACAAACTTGAGAGTAATTAAATTTAACATATAAGAGAGAGAGAGTTTTGAAAAAAGTTGGTATCAATATCTGATTTTTTTTTTTATGGTCTGTGATATGTATTTATTATGATTTTCATATAAGTTTTACCCCGACATAATCAGTAGTTAGATGAAAAAATTTCTTAGAAACTATATATGAGGGACTGATACTTGCAGTGTGTCTCTAGCATATGTATAATGTGTAAATAATAAATGTAAGAGAGAAAGAGAGAGAGAGAGTGAGGCGTCTTTGAAAGGGAATAGCAAAAAAATCAGTATGTTGACCTCTCATGGGATTATTTGGAGGTCAAAGAGCAAAGAATGCGTGGTGAGGTCGTGACCCAGTGAGGCCGACCGATGGGTGATGATACCGCATGGTGGGCTAGATCGACTGAACTGGATATCCTGGTAAGTTTTACAGCCAGGGTTATAGCCCTCTGCACCAATACTGTGAAGGAATCTGATGCTTTACGGACAGAATCACCCACCCCCGGGGTTGTGTGGCCGACTACATCACTATATATATATATATATCGTTCTAGTCGTTGCAACCCCTCGCCTTTGGAGTTCACCCTCACCTACAAGGTTACAGCTCTCTTTCTATCTCTCTCATACTCTCTCTTCGTTCCCCTGTTCAGATCAACCGACCTCTATTCCTCGTCCTTCTACAGCCACGCGCTCACTCGCGTAGTATATACTGACGACAACCATGAATGAGACCACGTGTCTTGACTCAACTCGCTGCCATCCAAAGATTTCATGCTCCCGCTTTTTTTTTTCATCACGTGATATTCTTTTTAAATAAATAAATGAGAATTCGATCAGAAAAATCCATAAGAAGTTTTCACCTTTCGAAAAAACAAAATTCGCTTCATTAATTTATTTTAATTTAATGGAGAATTTTATGCAAATGCATGAAGAAGTAAAGAATTATAGCGAATATGACATTTTCTGTTTAATAAGAAAATTTACAACAGGGTGGCCTGGAAAAAGTTAGGAATTCTTTTAGTTTTTATCTCCAATTTGTAGTAGCTCCATCTATTGGTTTCTATTTTTCGTTGAAAGATTACTGAAACGAACATAACCTCTTTAAAAATTATCTCACTTATCAAAAAAGAGTATTATCTTTTTTAAAGAAGCATTCCAAAAAAATAGCTATTTTTTTTATCAATAACGGAATGAAATTTAGTGTTTATTACAAATAATTTAATCCTTATAATTCAAAAAAAAAAATTTCATTACAATTATTTATATTTATTAGATGATTGATTTTTCAGAGTATGCTGTCAGTAATTGATGAGGATCATTAAGTTTGGACCGGTCCTCTCTAATTTTATCAACAGGCGACAAAATTATTCTGGAGTAATTTATTCGTTCTGATACAAAATAGACTGCTGATGCTGTAAACATCCTAAAAGTGAGTACTCTCATTATTAATTTAATTATTTGGAACATATTGTCAGTTTATTCTAACTTGATGTTTGAGTACAAAATAAATACTAAATAAAAATCTTAAAAAATAAATTTTAATTAATTAAAAAAAGTTATCACGCTCAATATTCTTTGTCCGTGTAATAAATACTGACCTCATTTTAATTTATCTTTTTGCAGATTCTATCCTCGATGGCTTGTGGTGTCTTGTACTTCAAAGATAAGGGAGAAAGTAAAAACGGATACATCTTATCTGGAAGGACACAGAATTCTCCATATTGAAGACTTTTTAGAACTCGGTCTATTTTTACGGTTATTTTTCACATTTTCGAAATGGAAATTTAACTTGAAAGTAGGGATCTCCGAGGGCTATTTAGTTTGAAGGAGCTGTACTGCTGATGCTGTAAACATCGTAAGAGTGAGTAGTACTTTTAAAATTTGAAATTAATTCTATTTGATTTAATTTAATTGATAAGATGACGTTCTTTCGATGAAATAATCCCATATATTTTATTGCTTTAAACAAAATGGGGACAAGTCTTTAATTTTCAAATTATTTAAAAAATTGTTGAGAATAGAGAATTTTGCTTCAGCAGTAAAAATATAAAAAAAAAATTGTTGGCTTTCAATCTTCTATTTACAAAAATTGTTTTGGAGTTTTTGACCTTTCTCTTTTTTATAAAATGGTTCGTCAACTTTTGAAACAATAAAATGAAATGGCAGAAATTTGTAAAGGGTAACTCTCAAAAAGTTGTATAATTCACATCTGCGAATAAATTTGTCAAACGTTATATAGGTATATACATAGTGTTTTCCATCGTAGAATTTTGAGTCTTGAGAGTTTTTGTGAGAAAAAGTGTAAAAAGTTTTATTTCTCGTGAACCGTTGCAAACAGCGCTTTACACTACTTTTCTATTCTTTTTCGTTCTTACATTGCTCTTTCTTTCTTTTCAAAAAGCTTCTCTCACATTTTAAGCTTATAGGAAAAAAGTTTACTCTCCATGCGACAAAAATATTAAAAATGCATTATCTAAGTATTTATAATATTTTTTTCCTACGCAGTTTTGTTTTTAAATTTCGAAATTATAGTTTGATTCAGAAAAAAGGGGAAATTTATCTTCTGAACTCATCGATCAATTTGAAAAGTTTTTTTTTTCGAAATGGTGAATTATTAAAGACACTCGAAACGTTGATTTTCGGCATTTTAGTGAAAACCGAAACCAATCTGATGCGGCGAATATATATAATATGTACGTATTCAAAGGTTTCTCGAATTATATTCTCTATAGGAATTTTCAATCCCCCGAGCTAAATTCGTACATGAAATGCTAAAAGTTTTACGGTCCAGTGAATGAAAGGCCAAGGGAATTTATATCTATATATACAATTGGAGGGCAACCCCGAAATAATAATAACAAAAGAAAAATAGGTACCTGTCCACGATCATGTATACTCTTCCTGTTTGTTTCGCTTTTCCTCCCTTATAGTCCAGTCTCTTTCTCATCTCTTCTTCTTTTTTTTTTTTTTTTTTTTTATTCTTATTCGAATTGTCCAAACGCGGACATGATTTGAGAAAAAGCAACGGCTCAAAGGTACAGGTAGCTAAACCAAACATAAGAATCACACGAGGGGGAATTCTGCGGCCAAAGGACAGTTTCAGGACATCAGCTTATATGTAGTCCTGCAAAATACGAATAGACAATGAAGACTGGGAACATTTTCACACGCCCTGGGTCTCGCGAGTTAAATAAGGGATGGTCACCCCTTAGGACAAGGACCGGTCATATCACCTGGCTTTAAGAAACGAGAGTTCAGTCATTAATATATGGACGCGTATATGAACGTTGCTGAATAAATTAATCTAGACGCGCATCCTAAACAGCCACCCTCTTATCCCAAACGGTTCTCGTTGCGCATCAAGAGACCAAAAAGAGAAGCAGCTGATGAGAGAATCCCCTGATACAACATAAGGGGAATTTCGAAAATGAATCACTATTCACAGCAACATTCGTTAATTACTTCACTTATTCCCTCATATATATACTCGCTTTGATCATTCTGATTTATATTGAAAATGAAAAAAAAAACAATTTTATTCTTCAACAATAACTGGCTATTGATTAACAAATTCGTAAATAAAAAAACAAATGAGAATCTTGAAATTCTGATAAGCTTAATAATTTACTTATAAAACTTTACAGACTGGAACCAATTACTGATATACATTTCTTGTTTGGAAAATTTTCCAAGATCCTCGAATAATAATTGAATAATATAATTTCAATAGAAAATTTTGTTTCGTGGAATTTATGTACAAGTTTTCTTGTTTATTTTCCAAGACACGAAAATCGAGCATTTACTGAACGGTTCGAGCAATGTTCTTAATGATCGAACCAAGACCCATCCCATCGACACTATTCTATATATATATATATATATATATATATATATATATATGTATACTATACATCGTTTACCAATAATGAATCAATGGCAGCGATGTGTGCAAAAGAGAGCGAGACAAAAAAGAAAAACGGTCTTTTTTTCAAGACCCGGGCTTTATCGTCGTCACTCCCGTCGAGCTACTTAATTCCCTGGAGCCCAACATAGATAGATCCTTTCTCTCTTCTCTCTCTCTCTCTCTCGTTTTCCTCCAACTCCTCCGCACGTCTATATTGGCATCGACGTGTTTTCTTCAACGAAATAGTGTTTCTCACGGTTTGCCAAAAAAAAGGGACCACAGTCCATTCAAGTTTTAGCATTGTCAAATTCAGTCGATTAGCCGAGGACATTTCCAAAAATTTGGGATGCATTATGGTTTACGAATGTGCTTCCATTATGTATATATATTGAGGATTATGAATCTTTCTGCGCACACCTGCGTTGTCATTAACTTCCTTAAAATTGAACAATGAATTTTTTCAAATTCAATGAAATTTATATTTTAATCCTTTTTCATTATTGTAGAGAGAGAGAGAGAGAGAGAGAGAGAGAAGGAAAAACAATTTTTTTTTTAATATTCATCAGATTTATTCATTTTTCACAAATCAATACAATGAGCATTTTCTGTTTTGTTAGATTTTTCTTTTCTTTTTTTTGAGAAGTGGGTGGTTAATTCTGTTCGTGTTGATACTAATTCTGGAAGCTGTCTCATGATTACGTCTCTCGCGCGCGATTTGAAAGCACCTGCTAACGCGAATGATACAACTCAGGCATATATAATACTGGCATTGCGCGAAAACCTTGTAACACTTGCTTCATTTTTGACTCCTTTGGATATAATGCACAATTTTTTAGAACAAAAATTTTTTGTTTTTAGTAACGTGATTTTTTTTTGAGAAAATTTTATTTATATTTTTTTTCATTATATGTACACTGAAAAAAAATTTGATTCATTCAAATACTCGATTACTTGAGTATTATCACATAAATATTTACTTGAAGCAAATTATTTGAATTAAAGAAATTGTATTTGAACCAATAATTTCTGTATTTGAAACAAATACAATTTAATTGATTCAAATAATAAATATTTGATACAAATACCATTTAATTGATTCAAATTATTATTATTATTATTATTATTATTATTATTATTATTTGATAATAGTCAAGTAATTGAGTATTTGAATCAAATAAATTTTTTTTCTCAGTGTAATATTTATTAAATTAGAAAATGATAAATTCTATTTAGAAAATAAATTAATAGAAAATAAAGATAAATAAAAATCCAATTGAATAAAACAAAAATTTGAAATTAAAAATTTAATCAACAGTTTTATTAAATAAACATCCGGATAAATAGAAATTATTTATTTTAAAATGCAAAACTTTTAAGTTATCTTTGTCAAATATCACATTTATAGTTTTTGACGTCAAATGAAAGAAAAAATAATAATAATAAAAAAAAAATTATAAAAGATCGATCTCTCCTTTAGGAGTGACACCTAAAGATACAAGGGTAGTCATTATAATACATATATACATTCCTTTATCGCGAGTTATGAGGTTCACAAGTTATTGTTAAATGGGACCTCGTAAAACGCGTGAATTCGTAGAAATCGTACGATTTTTGGCAACAAAGACCCATACCAAGTATAAAGCGGGAAGCGATCCATCTTTTGGTATTCATTCACGAAAAGAATAAGTCCCGGGAGAGGGAGAGAGAAGGGTGCTCATATAGAAGAGAGAGAGGAGAGAGGTAGTTAAAAGACGAAAAGAGAAAGGAAAGCAACAAAAATGAGATAGAAGGAGGGATGAAGAGAGAAGATACATGGGGATGCTGTGTGAGATAGAGAAAGAAAATCCAATGAAGATGAAGAGAGAAAGAGAAATTTGGGGAACAGAGTGAGTTAGAAACAAGCGACAGTTAAATCGAGAGAGGTGTCAACCCCTATTGTCCTCATGGTCATAAAGATTTTTCGTAGCTTGGAATTTGTTTTAGCGGGATACCAAGCGGGATATCTGACCAACCATAATGAGTGGCCGGTGAGCACATTGTCATGCTAATCTTCCTTTGCGAGACAGAGAGAAAGAGAGAGAGAGAGACCTCGAAAAATTTAGCTATAGGGCAATTCGCAGCAGCCAAGGACCAAGGAGAGAGAGAGAGAGAAACCCCTCTCTTGGGACAAAAGGACGACCGGTCTTCCTTGAATCTAAGCACGGTTGCTCGATGAAAAGAGATTTTTATTCTTTAGATATTATAAAAGCGCTCGCGACCCCGAACAGCGACACGTGAAGATGCCAAGAAAAATAAAGGCAGAAATCGATTTTAATTCTCCAAATTCCTTCTTCTTTTCATAATATTAAATGAGATTAATATTTAAAAATTTTTTTTGCGTTTTTTTGAAAACTATTTTTGACTGTTTTTGAAAAATGGGAGTATTTTTTTGCAGAAAAAAATAACTTTAAATATAAACACTTTAATGAAAACTATATATATATATATATACCTGTTGAGAATTGTTTGAAAGAGTAAAATGGAGCATTCCTTTCAAAAGATAAAAGCATCGAAGATACAAGCAAAAAGAATCAAGACGATTAGACGGAGCGCCCACCTCGGTAATTCACCCTCGTACCAAGAAGTTTAGTTACACAAGGCGATAACAATCTTTTGAACAAATACTTTCCTTTCTCCGCGAGATCTCGAGCAGCGGAAGCAAACAAAAGCAGCGACGTGTCTCAAAGATCGAATCTTTATTTAAGGAAGAAAATTCCCTCTTAAAGTCGAAATTCTCACCTGGCACGAGAGAGATTATGACATATACAAGCAGCTGAGATCTGTACAATAAAAAAATGACATCTGGATGAAAAAAAAAAATAATAAACGGAAAAAATACAATTATAAGTATATATATTTATATGAAAAGGTATATTGAAAATATTTCAATTCTTTTATACATTCTTTTCAATTTATAT